TTCCAGGACCCTTCTCCTACTTTGGCAGGTGGTGATTATATACTCACCCTTGTGTGTCTGTGCATCTTGCAGGTTTTCTGCAACTCATGAAAAGAACTGCAGCATTATTTGCAGAATCAGGACTGCTTTTATGAGAGAGTGTATAGTGTGTTTAAATGTGCAGTATAGCCAACTACTGCCAAATGTGCAATATAGTAAGATTTTTTTCATATATTCAAACTATTTGGAAAAAGGATACAATGTGGCCTTTTGACCACAAATGCAGATAAAATGCTTCAGAAATTTGAAAGAAAATTGACATTAAATGGACAGATTTGTTGATGAACTTTAGTGTTTAAAATTAACAGATCATGCTGTACATTTATTAGTTAGTCATATTGTCGTTAATTCTGCCTGTATCACAGCAAATATAATCAGGTACCAAATGAGAATACTCAAGCACTATATCTTCTGTATTTAATAACACATGGAAAGGTGAAAGGGGAAAAGAAGTTGGTGTGGGGGGAGCCCAGCTGCTATAACACATCCTATTCAAGTGACATATCACATCATCCCTGGCAGTGTTCAAGGCCAGGTTAGACGAGGCCTTGGGTAATACGGTTTAGAGCGAGGTGTCCCTGCCCATGGCAGGGGGGTTGGAACTTGATGATCTTAAGGTCCTTTCCAACCCTAACTATTCTATGATTCTACGTATTTCTCATGAACTTGTAAAGGTGTTGGAAGGGCTTGACCTGAATCGGGGCTAAACCCCTTGTCTTCATCCATCAGCTGCTTCAGGTTGGCCTGATGAAAGTCATCACCTCTGCCAGCCACCCGCCTTGCCCTAGGTCATACCCTGCTGGGGTTGCAGAAAGCTGGGTGATGACCCACCAGCAGTCATGCTTTGCTGTGGAGGGGCACTGCACCACGGGGTGCTGCCATGGGTGTCGGGGTACAGTCCCAGCTGGGGAAGGTGCTGTCCCTGGTTCTGAAGCACGGGGCTCAGCATAGCTGAGCCCCCCAAAAAGGTGCAGGAGCGCATGCAACTCCTGCCACCTGCAAACTGAGCACTTACATTCACGGGGTGCAATGCTGGTGTCCTCATGATTCACTGCAGTCTGGTGTACTGTACATGCTAGGACTGCTGTGAGAAATCTTCGCCTTTGCTTATACATTGTTTACTGGACAGTTTGTCCCTTGGAAATGGATGTGGCAATTCCTTTCATCATGCATGAAATTAAGAAAGAGGGATATCCAGAGAAGGAATAGGAGATATGCTGAAACATGTAAGGCACGTACTTCAGAGCTCTGTGTCCTCCAACAACCTGATGATATAAACAAAACTTGAACTGAAATAGCCTGTTCCTTAGCGGATGCAAACAAGTTTCACTGAAGTTGCTTTTTGTTTCTCACTCAGACTCTGATTAGTCAGGCTGTGAGTCACAGCTATTCACTCTAAGATAATAACCTTTCATCTACTATGAAACAATTTTGCACACCAAAGCATTTTCTGTAAGACATACTAATCACATACTTTATGTAGTATTTTTTTTAACAGTGGCTTGTTCAAATTTTGTGCTTGAATACACAGAAATTTTTCATACCTGGAGTATGGATCACACTGCAGTGAATAGAATTTCAGAGACATTTATTCAGCCTGGAAAGCATTTTTACAACTTGGCCCCTTATTGCAGTGTCTAGCTGACATGTGAGTGCTCTAAAAAAACCCACAAAAACAAAACAAGCAAACACCTGTTCCACTCTTCAGAGGCCAAACATATAGAAATTGATTCTTTGTATCATTTTTATTTAATGTCTTAATTCTCCTCAGAGGAACCATATGACAGGAGAGAAAAAGCACATTGAGTATTGTCATTTGTTTTGTATAAAATGGTTCCTTGGTCTTTGCTGTTTAGGTTAGAAAATATTCACAGATTGAGAAACCCTCCCCTACACACGTATTAATGACGTTTCCAAACCCTTTTTACTTTTTCTTTGCAATTAGGCATTGTAGATTTTGTTTGTGTCATATCTTATTCAGGATGTAAGACATGGCCAGCTTTGTGTCTGGATTTGTCACTTGAGTTACGCATGGACTATCCACATTAGGAAATCAAGCAGAAGGTTGCAAAAAGAGGAAAGATGCCATAGATTGGGACATAGATGCTTCTCCATTTATCACGTTTGCTTCTTCTAAGTTCGACACTAATGAGCCACTCAGAATTAATGAAAAAATAGTTTGTATTTAATTTACTGCAAAAGCACCAGTAAAGTCTTGCCTATGTAAACTGACATATAATGGCAAACATGTAAAAAGTCTTGTCGTAGGAATTGCCAGCTAAGCAACCAAAAAGAATGTTTTAACCATAATCTTTCTGGCTCCTTTCCCATCTGTCAGATTTTGTTGTCTCATTTACTCTCTATTTACATAGGTATTATGAAAATAAATAATATATGAAGCATTTAGCTATTCAAGGGATGAATGCTTTAGAAAAGTTAATAAGCAGATTCTTAGAAGGGCTTAAATAATGTACAGCAAATAAGGATCATACATCAAATGGCAGCAGGTAAAATATATATCAAGAACAAAAGAATGTGACAATCAGTTATATATTCTCAATAGAACAGGGTTGGCTTGGAATGAAACACTACGAACCTATTATAATGAAATTAAAGGCTAACAGAATTTGTAGACTCAAAGGAACCAAATTGATGGTCCACAAGTAACCCTAATTCTGGTATTTCTTGGTTCTGATATGCTCAACTTTGCACCTTGAAGAATTTCTTTTAGTATTTTTTGTGTGTGTATGTGACATATATTTTCATAACATGTTTTCATTTTCATAAACCCTCTCTTTCCATATGCTTGCACAAAGCAATTACCATGGAAAACACATAAAATGCTTCCTTATTAACAAAAGCTCCAAAACCTTGCAGACTAAGCAGACTGCCACAGTTAATAAGATTTCCACATGTCAGCTTAGTTGAATGAAGCCTTGTCTGTTTCATGAACACAGCTATCTTCTGCTCCTTTTCTCAGCCATGAAGTCTAAAATTGTGAGAACTTTCCCCGAGTTTTACATTTCTAGTACCTCTCAAACAAGCAAATACACAGTGCACCACAGCTACTTCCATGGACCCAGGACGGTTATCCATTTCACTCCATCTGCAGAAAATCCTTCAAGAGCTGAGGTCATATAGCTTTTATAACGGCAGTCTTCCTACTGCCATTGTAACAAAGAACCACAGCCATTAAACTCCAGTTAATTCCATGTACTATGCATCCAGAGCTCTAAAAAATAACAAGTCAAGGACAAAGAGTGCCTGCTGACACACTGGTAGATGTCATCTGGAACATGTGGTAGATGTTGTAGACAGGACTAGGCAATGAGTGATCAGAAAGTGAAAATTAGAACATTTCAATCCATGGTGATGAATTCCGAATAGCAGCACATAGCCTAGCAGTTCTGCATTTTGAGTGTTGCAAGGTTATCTTGATTTGAAACCCTCTTATGAAGAGGTTAGAGACTAGCTCTCTGGCCCTCTGTTGCACTGGTATCATGTTTCCACCTTTTCTGCCCTGGGGTAAAAGTAGTCATTATACTTCTGATGGCTAATTAGCAATATCTTGCAACGTTATATGATGGGATTACTTTTACTGTAATCACACTGCAGAAAATTTGAGACCTGAGTATGTGCTTTCATGGTGCTGAGCACTAGATAAACGTGAAAAGAGACAGAGAGCCCTGCCCTGAAGAGCTTATTGCCTAAAATAAGACTTTTCATTTGCCGTTTCTAAACCCAAGTTCATTCGTCAATACTGTCTCTAGCAGGAGACAGAAGGGATGAAACAGCAAAGCAGTATACAAAAATATACTCAAAATGCACAGATTTTCTAAAGTCATGGCTGGAAAATCTGGTCTCTAGGATAGTTTCCAAACTAGAAAGGAGATTGCTACTCCCAGTCTGACATGTATCTCCTCTGTCATGAAGTTTCTGTCCCTACAGATGCTATAAGGGTTATTGGATGTCATACTACATATGCCTTACTACGCCCATGGTTACATACTGATGGCCTTGCCTTTTGGAAAGGATGATGCTATGGTGGAAGGCAGAAGAAGTTCTGTATTTGGTACAAAGGACGTTTTACTTTGTCAACCTTTTGAATACGTCTGTTGTTCAGGGCAATCAGTGTACGTTTTGGAGAGCAACGTTTATTATGTAGGTTTACTGCTCACCTTGCAATTCAGGGACAGATCTGTAGCTCGCTGGGCGTTGTGCAAAATCATGTTTTGAAAGTGCCATCTAGTGGCTCCATAGGTTGGTTTGGTTTGGTTTTTTGGTTTGTCTTTTTTTTTGGGGGGGGGGGGGGGGTGTGTGGTTTTTTTTTGTGCCAGAAAGTGAAGTTAATCTCCCCGAAATTCAGGATCAGACCAAAGGCCATGCAGGCTTCTGAGTCAAGGCAGTCAGCAGGGACACCTTAGTAGCTATTTGCAGCCTGCAATAGTAGTGCAAATGCTGTAATCTGGCTGGCTAGAAGACATTGCTGGAACAGGGAAACATGCACAAGTGGCCCCAGGAATGGGGATGTGATCATGGCTGCTGCACTTGGATGTGAAAATGGAAGTGTGGGCAGAGGTATACAGAATAAAGGCACATAGAAATAACCAAGTCCTAGTTTTCTGTTGGTAGGCCCTTTGTTCTTTTCAGGAAGACAACAGCCCTTAAGTTAAAATGATTTGCACTATAGATGTTTTTCTGAATATCTGTTATTAAATACTTTAAAACACGACTGCAGACCATTAAGGATCTTCAGAGGCAGGTGAAGATCACTGGTGAGCTTTATTTTCTTCAAAATATAGGGACAAAACAACTAGTTCAAGGCTAGGTTGAACGAGGCCTTGGGTGATATGGTTTAGAGCGAGGTGTCCCTGCCCATGGCAGGGGGGTTGGAACTTGATGATTTTAAGGTCCTTTCCAACCCTAACTATTCTATGATATTCTATGATAGTCCAAACTGGATGGGGCAGATTTTTAGCAAACCAGTGGCAGTTTCATTTGAACGCAGCACATGGCTTTGTGACTAGAACACTGGAGAAAGGAAACCAAACTTTGTTTTCAGTCATATTTTATTGCAGCAAACCCAAAAGTTTTGTAGCTTTGTGTAATAGCTCCAAACTGATGTAATTGTTTCCCAGGAGTTGCTGAATTCTATATGGGCTCCTAGTAGCTTTATTACTGTATAGTTTGGAGTTCTTAGTTTGGCATTAGTTCCTCATAGAAATCATCACTTTGATTACTGATCCTTTTCTGCAACTGACAAAGGCATTGTAAGCCAATATAAATCACTGTATTATTTCATCTTTTTACAGTTTCAGAAGCCACAAATCATTCTCAGAAGTTACAATTTTAATTCACTTGCCACTAATTTAAGCCTCAACTTTTATTCTGGATCGTCTCTTGTGGCTGGAATAAATGGACCATTCACTCCTGGTTCCATTTATGCATATCCATCAGAATGAGTGAAGCTCTGCAGAAAGATACAAACCCTTGTCGAAGCAGTTAGATAAGCAGTAATGTTATACTCATTTATAACTTAAAAGCAATGTATAACTCTTGAAACAGGTTCTGTACTACATTATATTTTATTCAATAGCAAGTGGGTTTTTCTGCAGTTCTACTTTCTTGTGGCACTGGTAGCTGAACATGTGATGAAATATATGATTCACAGAATTACCTTGTTTAGCTCCATTTATGCACTTCAATCTTGCCACTTCCATGTGGTTCATCCAAATGTTTAGTTAAACATATGTTGATTCATTTTTAATTTTTTTTTCCTGGATATACATCCTTTTCTGAATTGGGGTCAGAGTACTGACGGTTGCACTATACATAAAAATAGATATTCATGTTGCTGCTATATCTGTTTTTAATAATTTAGGAGACACTCTGGCACCATGGTGTTGAGGCCTAGGCATACTTCTTCATCTTCTAAGACCCAAATAAGTGATATAACATATGATAAAAATCCAAAAAGAAAAGAACCCACAAAGAACCATCGGCACAGGAACCTTAAGGTCCCATGGAAATAGTTCTGTTAATTTAATTCAAGATTGCACATTCCTGATTTTTACAGCTGAAATTAGTTACATCTGGAACATTAAGAGGGAACATCATTTTTTTTTGTTTTGATAGATATTTTGGTATTAAACCAAAACAAGTGATGTCCCTTAAAATGAGGAATATGTGAATGATAAGGAGCTGTAAGGCTAGTGAGGAAGGCCATTTTTTCCCTAATTCTACTGATGAATCAAGTCATGCCAAAATTTGGATGTATTCCTGTCTCTCTGACACAGATATTTTGGATATTCATTCTCTATTCAAAAGCATTATCAAATGAAAGAAGCTCTTCCCATAAAACATTTTCAAAAAGCAAAGTTTTTTCCAGAAAGCTTTCAAAAAAGAAGTCTTTACCTCACCACAGAACATTTGCAAAAGCAAACTGTAGATGCTTCCTCAAGTTCTAGTCTTATGACCTTTAATTTAAAATGTGTTTTGTTTTAAAACATGGCCTATAAACATGCCTGGGGGGAGATCAACACAGTCATTTAAGGAACAGAAACTTGAGACATGTGGTTGAAATATGGTGGGAGGAAAAATAGAAGGCATCACATTAATGACACAGAAATTTCAAATGCAATTTTCTAATTATTTCCTTTTTGAATGGGATTCTAGAGAGCCAGGGGACAATGGCAACAAGGTGCATGCCCAACAAGCTAATTGGCCTTTAAGTCTGTCATTTACTGTTTAAGCTTTAAGTTTGTAAAACAAACCCTTCCAAGGCAGAGCACTCAATAAGGGTCAAACTCTTTATCTGGTGTTCTGACCTTCAGGATGACCAATGGAATAGTGCCTTTCCTGTGTGTGTCTACTGCAGATAAGAGATCAAGTAGTGAACTGATTATGTTGATGTATTTCACAAAGAAGGGAAAAAAAGCATAACCAGTACAAAGTCTTACATTGAGATATTGCAGTCTGAGTCCCTTTTAATTGTTGCACTAATTGTTAGCCTCAGGAGAGGGAGGACTCAAGGAATGATAAAGCGGGACACCAGAGTTGAATCTCTCATTGCTGAAGAACTCATTGTGTTTAGGGTTCTGCCACAGCCAGTCTGAAAGACAAGCTTTGCTGTTGGGAGCCTACTGTTTACTACCAGCATACCCCACACTGAGAAATAAGAGAAGGAAATCAGTGTACTACAGAATAGTTTCATCTTTAGGTTTTGCATGTTTCATAGTGGCATAGCTTCAGTAGAGCAAGAGAAGTTCCAGATCAAGCTGATATTTAAAGCCTGCTATCTGAAATGAGGCTCAGGCATTGCCCCTTCCTTTTCTATAGCCAAGGTGTGGTTTTGCCTTCTGTCTGGTCATCCACACACAGCCTTGACTGGAGCTAGCAGGGCTTCTCACTTAGCCATGATGTGGTGTAGGCACATGTTGCTTCAGGAGGTAGACAATGCCTTGGTGGACTACCCCATAACAGAGCGACAGTCAAAGCCTGCCAGCAGATGTAACATATCTTTGGGCACTGCCTACCTGTTCTGCCTCCACAGTGTGGGAGAGGGACACCCGGGCAAAATTCATATCCTTTCCCAACTCATTTGCTCCCAAAGGGAAGGTGCCTGAGGAGCAGACCCCAGTTTCCTCCACACTGAAGCTCTTTTGTTTTCTAGCCATAGTAAGGGGGAGCAAGGAAAAAACACTTGCTCCAGGTCCCTGTGTAGCCATATTAGCCAGTCACAGTCCTGCTCTGAGGAGCCTTAGCTGATGGACTTTTCCCCCTGAGGATGCAGAATAAGAAGTTACCTCTAACATCGGCAGATATGGGGATGGTACCTGGAAGCAATATTTCAAATCTAGTCCAGACTTGCTGCAGAGTGCTTATGGATTGCAGACTTTATAAGGAAGAGCATTCACTGAAAAAGCAAACAGGAAACCACATTTTAAAAATTATAGCTGAACATATGGAAGTTTTCACATGCATGATGTGAATTGTGGAGTGTGTGTGTTGCTAACAGGCAGTGCTATCGCTGATTCTGTATTACAACAGGCCTGTATCATAACAGACTCCAAAGCACTATTCTAGTCTAAACTGTAGTGAAGAGCCCAAGTCAGAGCTGGGTTACAAGAGCTGAGGAGCTGCTCTGTAATGACGTACAGATATGTGTTTTGACCTACACTGTTCATTTTTTGGATGTGTCTCTTTTATGAAGTAAGAGGCAACGCAGAAAAAGCAAGCAGGAAAATTCACAAATAGCTGGAAGGTGGCCATCTACCAGCAAGTGCCTGAGATTTCATAAAGGAAAATGCTCAGAATATGAACTTTGAAAACTTTTTCTCCTTCACCAATTAAAAGCAAAGTTGGCTTTGCCTACACAAGCTGAGACTAGCATCATTCAAAAGTAAAGTGGGTGCTTTTGGACTAGAAAGGACTTTCATCAGGGTCTCTAAAGGAGAGGTATTTGGAAAAATCAAGCTAGGAGTATCTGTAGAAGGCATAAAAGTTTCCCTTGCAGAGATATGCTATTATGTGATGTCTGCAGTTGTGGATACACTCATGCTGGGATGGGATGTCTGAGTCGTAGGTTATCCACCTAAGTTATTACGCAGAGGCGATAAAAGCGCTAGACCTGGAGCAGCAGCGGGATCCTGTGCACGCTGCTCAGTCTCCTGATTGCCAAAGGGCTTGTTCAGCTGGGACACTGTCAGTGCGAGGGCACATGGAGAACAGCAGCGCGGGTTTAGCAAGAGGTGCCCAGGGATGTTTCGTAGGGCTGCGCACTAACTTTTGCCAAAGCCAGTGTCCCTGTATTAGTGGCTAGGGCAGCTGTGATGGCCGTGAGGGAATGCACAAGGCTGCCTGCTAGGTTTAACAGGAGTTTACAGAACCTCCCACCCAAACCAACTGTCTAGACTGCTGCTGGGGATCGTTGCCAGTGCTGTGCATGTGTCTGAGCCTCTGTGCTGCTCAGGCAGTTACTGAGATGCTGTTACCAAAAGGTGCCTCTCCATGCTCTTCCGTATTTCATAAGCTGTGCAAACGGATCATCAGTTAAGTGACCAACCATGCTGTTTAACCCAGGAGGTAACGACATTAGATCTTCTTCTCCACCTTGCCCATGCTGCGGCACAACCCGATGACTCTGTGTGTGTGTAAATATGTATTTTATGCACGTTTTTATAATCTTGGCTGCTCATTTGAACACAGCGGCCAGTCAAGCGCTCCAGCAAGAACCCAGCCCCAGCCCGAAGGCCCTCGGCCACGCAGAGGCGTGGAGGGGCGTGCCTAGCTCTGGCTGAGGCCCACCACGGGCCCGCTCCTGCCCGGCCGCGGCAGGGCGCCCCTCGGCGGCGCGGCGGAGCGTAGCAGCAGGCCCCCCCGCTCCTGGCAGTGGCAGCCGCCGTAGCGGAGGGTAGCCGGAAGAGGGCGCTGCTGCTGCGGCGGCCTGCACCTACTCCCCACGTACGAACCGGCGTGCTTGTGTCCGAGCGCGTTTGTATGTCTTTTTTTTTCACGTTAAGATCGCGGGGTTTGTTCTGCTTTTGTTCCTATTAAGGACAAGAGGGGAAATTCCACCTTCTGTGCCCAGGGCTGGGAGTGGGGGTGAGGCTGGCCTCGAAAGGGAAAGACCTTGTGGTACCTCTCAGCTGGCAGCTGTCTCCAGAGCAATAGAATGAATAGGTCAGTTCTGGTTTTTTACTTTTTAATGATTTTTTTAGCCAAAATGGCAAGGCCATTTGCTACCAAGTGCCTCATTATTCAGTAATTATTGTGATTGCTGCCATCCCCTTGCCTCTGGACCCCATTATGATTATGATGGCCGATGTCCTGTGTGGAAGCTTTTGGGGGAATAGAGATGGCGCAAAGGTTTTGTGCTGGCGCACTAGACACTGGGTTTTACACCGCACACCCTCTTCTCCCCCCTCAGTTTTCCAGATTGCTGTTAATAATGTATAAGAATAAAGGATACCCTTTGTACAGTTTGGGGTTGCTGTAAGCTGTCACAAGTGTTTTATAGAGGCTGATTTTAATTTTGCCACCCAAGAGAGTAATAGTCCCAAGGAAATAAAGCATCTTTCTGCTATTGTTATATATTCGAAGGAAAAATCCTGGCACATAATTGGCTAAAAAATAGTAGTGTGATGAGTCAATAAATTTCTATTGTGTAGCTTTCTCTGGGTGAACAATACTATGTTCTGGGGTAGTGTTAAACAATTAGTTCACATATCATACGAATAAGCACATCCTAGACGGATACATCTGGGGGTAGTAGAAATTGTTCATCTCTGGCCAATCAGACAGCAGTTTTTATTTATTTCAGTTTAACAGAATACCTCTCTGGGCTCTGGGAGACCTTGCGAGCAATTGAAAATACAATAACTGTGGAAGGAAAGCCAGCAGTTTTTCCTCGCTCTCAATCCAGAATAATAATATATGACAAAATATCCTGTTCCCACAAGCATCAGCCTTTCTACCCCCAAGTGTATAAACAGATAGCTGTGCAGGATCGATGGACCTCTTTGCAGAGTATGTCCTGCCATGTGTCTCCCTGCCCTCTTTCTCTAGTGGAAGAGTTTTTGGTGTTAACGTTTCTTCCAGTATGAAGCAGAAAGAGAGATGAGTCTGTCCATAGGTCCATCAGAAATGAGTAATAACGTCAGAACCTCAGTTTGTGTAGATGCAGCTGCCTGTGTTGAGGAAAGTAGGTTGAAACAGGCTGAAAATCAGCCATATTGTTTCTTTTGAATTTTAACCATTGGTATAGTGCTATTTAGTGGCAAAATGTTGGATTTTCAACTGTATGTGGTGAAAAAAATTACAAGAAATGTACCTTCTTCTTCAGATGGTATTCACCATTTTGCCTGATTTGTTTGGAGTAGTTCTGTTTAAATTCCTGAAATTATTTGTATTGTTTTGTGTTACAATAGTGAGTAGAAATCTGAACCATTTTGCTAGATGCTGTTCAAATGCACACTAAAGGACAATCCCTTCCCAGAAGGTTTGCAAGCTAGTTCCTTACCCTGAGAATAGAATTTAATTCCTGGATTTAATTTCTTGGTACATTTGAGTTCCTGTATCTCAAGAAAACTCAATTTTTCTCTGTTCTCATTTAATCCAAATTACTGCCTAATTAGAAGTTAATGTTTTTGAAGGGGGACTACCAAGAGAGTTTTCATGCAACTTGAAGCATTCAGGATTCTGTGAGCTAAGTTTCTACAGATGGTGTGTGCCTACAGACACAACTAGATCTCTCTAAGACATTAAGGAAAAGTTTATTATGTTTCATTTTGTACAGGGGGATTAGTGGTCCCCAGCTGTGCCTAAGACCATCCATTCTTCACAGCTGGTCATTCTTATTAATCCCCAGGAAATGGCCTAGGTTCTAATTTCTTGTTTCTTGAATACAAACTGAGCAAAATACATTCAAACATGATAGTGTAAAAATTGAAATCATACTTTGTGATGGATCCCAGTTGTGAAGAAGTAACTTCTGTGGCAAGAGCTTCACCTCTGTTGTTTGTTTTGAAGGGTCATGGTAGATAAAATGGGAGAACATAAGCATCCCAGATACCCTTCTTAATGAACCCAAATATATTTTTAGTCCGACTGTTGTTTTTTTGTCTTTGAGAAAAGAGGTGTCAGCATGGAAAAACAGTGAGCTGTTATGGCAGTTGGAATTAACAGTCCAGAAGCCTGTTGATGTTAAAAATTCCATAAGCCAGGAAAATGCTGCTTTACTTTACTGATGTTCAATATGTTTGAAATGGATTGCTCTAGCTTTGTTTCCTGAAAAAGGTGAAGTTTTTTAGAGCTGTCAACCCTGACAGTAGATGGCCAGCAGATTGCTACAGTTTGAGCTCATTATGGGTCTTGTGTGCTTTCTAACTGTGTAAGTCCAAGCAAAACACAGTTTGTCTCTTTGTTCCTCAAATGCTTGTTCTCCAATTGTAGGGACTGTGCCTGGCCATCTTTGTGGCCTTCTTAGTTTGTGTGCCTGAGACCTTAAAGAAGGTATTAAACTTCTCTTAGTTCCCTCCCAGCCAGTGTTCGGCTTTTTCCAGACTTCTGATTACTTAAGCACTCTAATTTATCATCCTGCTGGTCAAGAACAAATCACAGGTAAAGTGATTTTAAAGTACATGCTTTGAAAAAGAGCTTGCTAGAAGCACAGGCTTTTCTGATAAGCCATATAAGAATATTAGAGACACAGCAGGGTGAGCAGCAGAGAAGTATAATCTCTCAGCCCTCACCTTACTGCTTCAGAGGCTTCCAAGGGCTTTGGTCACTATGCTTGAGAAAAACATGCAGAGTTGTTCTTGTTCCTGCTTCTCCACCTGCAGCAATTCTTTCAAGCCCCAGTGCAGCTCTCTTCCTTAAGTTGCATTTGTGCTTAAAGGAGTTCATTTGTGAATACTTTTCTTTTTCTGGCTTTTTGCTGCAGAGTTTTTACTTTGCCAGCTCTTCCTTAGGAATACCTAGCTAGTCAGAGAGTTGGGTTCTAGCCATATTGAATCCTTTTCTTTCACTGTGGCAGAGCCATTCTGCTGGCACTTGCCAATGATGTCTCAGTTTTACTTTGACAGTGTAAGCTGTCAAGGGAATGCTTTAACACACAGCAATTCTTGTAATTGTAAATGGCATTTCTCCAGGAACAAAAACAAAAAAAAGAATTATTCTATAAACAGTGTGAAACTAATTTATTTTATTTTACTTTATTTTATTTTATTTTCTAAAACAAGATTGAAATTTGGACTTTTCTGTATAAAAATCTCTGTCCTGATCTCCCCATCACTGGAGATGCTAAAATGGTTGGACATTAGGAAATGAAAAGGACTGAGTGAGTTTACACCTCTACTGTCTCCTTTGCCTTCCTAAAACCTGGTTACATAAATGAGTAATGAGATGTGATTTGCATCTACTTAAGGCAAAAAGCTCTTAATCCTCTACAATTTTCAACAACTGGATGAAAATGGACATGTGAAAAGCCACAATTATGAAATAGTCAACATTTTACTTAGAAGTCCACTCATGTATTTGAACTTAAATTGAGGCTAGGTGAAACCTTTAAAAATGCCATACTGATTTTCTTTGGTGTTTGCTGTAAAATGCATCTTTGATTTGTCTTGAACTAGTAAGTCTTATTTTTGTTCCCTTAAAGATGTAGAGCAACATGTTAATCAGAAAATTCAGTATCTATGCCTGATCCATTGTAAAACAGTGTGGCTTCCTTCTCTTTTTTCCCACAAAAAGTCTAACCTGGTAATTATTTTAATTATAGTGATTGGGGTACTTACTGCGTGACTTCTGAGAATATTAATTTTCTTTGCGTGGAGGCATGGCTTATATGGAATACCAGAAAAACGTAGTGACCTATTTCATTCCATGATGCTAGCACATCTGTGAGGGTGAAACATAGGACGCATCTCAATTAGCAAATTACTTTGGATCAGGGGTGTATTTCTGAAGTGTAGCTCCTGAATGTCCTCTCTTACTGTGTTTTCTTTTATGTTTTAAGTATAGAAGCTAGGTTGCTTCCACGTGACACTGAACTGGAAGATGCACTTCAGTGGCTGTGCTCTAACCACTGCCCAGCATTCTGGCCATGGGACCACACCAGAACTAAAGGAAAGTAACCCCTCTTTGAAATGTGTGTAGTGTAGACATCAGATCCTTAGCACTAATAATTCTGGGTTGCTCTGCTCATTAGCATAGCCAGGGCATGTGAATGCAAAAGCCAAAATAGGGAAAGAAGGCATGCATGTTATTTAATGTGTCCATCTTATTCATACTGTATTCATTTATCTTGAAAGTTTGGCAGCAGAATAGTGGACAGGTGGTATATAAAACCCAGCTCTGGAAACTCCAACCCATTGCCCCGCTTCAAAGAATACATCAAAGAACTTTAGTGAATTGTCAAACAAAGATAGCAAAACAGGAGCGACATTATTAATTGCTAATTTGAAGTTAGTGCCCTACTGTTGTCTGGGTGTAAAACATTTGTATCTGTTGTTTTATCATTAAAGTATTAAGAATGCTTGCTGCAGTTCCTGCAGTGTTAGTTCAAAGGCAGCTATTTACATTTGCAGGGAAAATCTTTGCAATGACACCTTGCATTTGGTTCAGTAGAACCAGCACTTACCATTAATTGCCTTTATTATTATATTAACTTGTTTTTCTGCATGTATGATCTTGTGCTCTGGTTTACCTTAGAAACTATCCATCCTCAGAGCTGATTTTATCGTTGCTGTAAGTAC